TCTGGGTTTAAGACACATTTGCCTGAACAAACTTTAAAAAGCAAAGGCCAGCTGCACTGTTCTGATCTGTCTGCTCCAAACAGGACACTCATGTTGGTATTGTTTACTGAGTGCATTATACTTTTTATCACGGTATCTGCTTCTGGGTTACAACACAGCAGAATTTCCACCTAAACTTAGGATGCTCTGATTGAATTAGAAAAATTTGGCTTTTTTGGTTTTTTTTTTTTCCAAGTATTTGGAGGTCCTGACAAGTTTGTCTCCAAGAATTTGGAAATAAAGATAGAATTCAATTATAAAATCTATACATTATGAAAGGATTAGGAACATAAAGTCACATAAAAGAAAGAATATTCCTGTTAGACCAGAACAGGGCTTCCTTTGAACATGCCTGGAATATGATACCTCGAAATAAGAAAGAGTTGTTTTATGTAGGGGCCCAGGCGGCCACAGAGGCAGGAAACGACCGGAGGTGGAGTCACACACAGCAGTGACCATCCCAGGACCTAGCAAGGGAAGGCAGATTGTAGGCATTAGGCCGCCATTCCCCTGGGGTCAGTGGCAAGGTTCTCCCTGTGTAGAACAGGTGGGCAGAATGTTGAATTGAGTTCTTTGATGGCAGGACAGAGCACATCGACCCCACATGTAGGAGAGGGCAACTTAGGTGAAAACAGGTTGAGAAGAGAACTCACAGTTGGGAGTGAAAAGCTGTCACACAGGGTCACACGGGGCCAACCTGGGAGTCAGGGGAACAGCGGCTGGAGCCATAGGGGCAGCTTATGTACAGCCAGCAGCTGGGGTTAGTGAGGGCCCCCGGGCTCCCTGGGGACTCGCTGATTTGAATAATTTCACAGACTCCAGGGTGTAGAGGCTGTCCCTGGTTGTCTGGTACCTGGCCCCGGGGCAGTCGGGGCCAGGGCTGGTACTCAGTGCCCTGATACAGTCCAGCCCGAAAAGGGAAGCGGTGCAGGGTGTTGACTTAATCAGCTGTTTAAGGGAAACTGACCAATCTCTAGCCATAGTTTCAAAACTGGGTCGACTTTTTTTTTAATAAATTTAAAATATTGAACATGAAAAGGAATATGTATGTATAACTGAATCACTGTGCTGTACATCAGAAAGTAACACAACACTGTAAATTGACTATACTCCAATTTTTAAAAATTGTATATTACACAGAGGGGTTCTGACGTGCACGCCCACTCAGACCGATCACCTGGAGCCCAGTATGCAAAGGATTCTAAGGCTTAGTGCAGGCTCGGGTGGGGCTTGCTGAGATCGCTGGGTGATGCCCGGCAGGGGCACAAGGGCGGTAAAAACCCCAGCCACCGTGCTGGCTGACCCGGATGTGGAGAGCTGCTGGCATGGATTCAAGTGCTGCCCTAGGAGAGGAAGAGCCTCCCTAAAGTGAAAAAAAAAAAAGACATGTGCTGTCTCTTCCTGCTGATTCGAATATTTAGCTAATATCACAGGAGTCCACTCTTCCTTATGACTGCATCCTGCTTATTTCTTTCATAGCCCTTGACAATTTGCAATCATATGTTTATTAGTTACACATTCTATATTTATTATTTATTAAATGTTTAATTATGCATTTGCTTATTTATTATCAATCCTTCTCACTGGAAGATTAGCTTCAGTCAGGCCTTCACTCAACAAAGTGTCCCCAATGTCTAGGAAGATAGCTCTTTCAGAGTCAGGCTTCTGGAATATTTGTTGAATGAGTGGGTCCACAAAACAAAGAATCGAGGGGTGAATGTAATTTCTCCTCACTCAGCAAGCAGTTTTCAGATCCCGGCGGAGCTGTTTTATGGGAAAAGACAGACTCCCCATCACACTGTCAGGAGTATGTCTGGTCTTTCTCATAAAATTATCGCATGTGTTCCAGCGAGTGCCTGATTTTAGTGTGTGATTTAGTTACCATGGATCATGGGCTCAGGGACTGTGAAGACTGAGTCTCTACCCAGACCACAAAACTAGATTGGATTCAGGCGGTATTGTTTTACACCCTTAGGAAAAGGTGCCTCTTCCAACCTCCAGCTTGATTCTCTACCTATAATATCTACCAAACCATCAGCAAAGTCATTGTGGTTGATAATGACATATGGTTTCTTAGGTTATTAGGTTAAATAAAATCTGCTGGAGCTAGAAAGATTTTTCTAAATCCACTTTCATCCTCGCTGCTTAATTAAATCCCTCACCTGGGAAAAGAGTGATTTTCAGCCTTCTCGCTTTCTGTGGCATCAGCATGACACTGTGACTGTTGAAATACCAAAATGCCAGTTGTGTCTAATGCTTCAGGTGCAATAAGCCTGTTATATCTGGAATCTCCTATGAAGATAGATGTTAACTGAGAATTGAACATGACAGCAGAGGAGATTGAACCAGAATAGCAAAAATGAGCACACAAATCTACTTCCCTTTTTGCTCCGATCCCTTAAAATGTCAGAAAGAATACATCCATAATAGTACTCAAAAACTAGAAATAATACTATCAGGGACCCAAAAATCTTGGGAGTTTCCTGACAGACCACAGCAAATAGAGAAAAATGAAGATGACAGAGACCAAAGAATCTCAGGAAAAAATAACTTTAAATGTAAGAGCACATTCAAAGAGACACTGAACTCACAGCAAGTTCATTAAAGAGCGTGAGGGTGTCTCGGTGGCTTCATTGCATTAATGGCCCCATTCTTTCACTGTCCCTGTATCCATGCCCTTTGCCACGAGACTTTAATGTTCCTCTCACCACAGAGGTGGAGTCTGTTACCCCGCCCCAGAGTCTGGACTGGCCTTAGGCCTTGCTTTGCCTAATTAAATGAGACAGAAATGACAATGCATCAGTTCTGAGCCTAAGACTTAGAGGCCCTGTGTGTTTTGCATGTTTCTGTTTGCTGTCCTGGCAAGGCCATGAATGTCCAAATTGGCCTTCAAGAGTATGAGAAACATGGAATAAGGCAAAGTCACCCCAGTCATCACCCAAAAATGAGAGTGAGGCATTGAGGTGTGGGGGCTGTTTGTTACACAGCATTGTCACAGCAGTGTATAACTGATACAGAGTTCCAACTGTGTCCATAACACCACATTACTACTTAGAATGAGCAATAGGCAGCAGTAGTGTGTGACTCCTGAATTAAACCATTACATTGTAGTGTAAAGAAAGGGAAACTTTCTGAGAAAGAAAAAAAATCGTGTTGAGCTAACACTGGACCTCCAGACCTTCTAGAGAGCAGGAGGAAAAGGAAAAGGCAGCTCTACTTAGAGAAAGGTAAACTGACTTTCTCCTCCCAGGGTTAAGAAATCCATTCTTGTTTCTGCCACCTGGGTAGTGGCAGGAGGACCCAGACTGCTTGACCACTATACTCTCAAGCATCCAAAAGTGAGATGCATCAGGTGGCACACCCTGCTCACTTAAACAGAGCCTGAACTTCTCCCTCACACATTGCAGATGCAGAATGTGGCAGCAGAGAAGTTCACCCAGCTGTTCACACTCTCTGTTTTCAGTCATGAATATAAAGAAACAACAAAGAAACACAGGTGTTGGAGGAAATCCCTTGACATGAAGGAGAAGTAATAAGATAAAAGAACAGGCTAATGAACCCTTGAGGAAACAAATCATTCAATAAGGGAGGAAGCATTGTTTCAAATACATAACAATACCTTGAGAGAGATCTATCACAATATTCCATCCATAACATGAAGTGGCAGATGTAAAAAGGGAACGTTCAGAAAATAACAAAGAAACCTTGAAAATTAAAATTTTTCCTAATATTCTCAGTATTAAAATAAATAATAGAAGAGACAAGCCCAAACACAAAATACGCAATCAGCAAGATTAAACTGAATACTTGAATAGACAAATATTAACAATTATTACATCTAGGTGATGGCTATATTGGTGTTCTTGATACTATTTTTCCAACTCTTATGTTTGTTTGAAAAGTTTTCATTATAAAAATTTGAGGGGAGAGAATAAAATTTTTAAAAAGGAATATTAAATTGAGAGAAATTTTGGAACAGATTTTTTTTAAAAAAGAAAAAAATAGAAACTGTGTAAGCATGACAAAGATATGGATGATTGACCCAGAAGGTCAAACATGTGTTGGCTAGAAATTCCAGGGAGAAAGAAGAAAGAAAATGAGTGGAAGAAAACAGTGGGGGGAAAAAAATACACAAGATTTTCCTAAGTTGAAAAATAATGAGTCCTCAGAGTGTAAAAGCACCAGTAAGTGCCAAGTGGAAAGAATTAAAAGACATAAACACACACACACGCACACACATGGATGTGAAAATCAGACAAGAAGTGGCAAATAACCACCATGTCTACAATACCACCAGCACAAACATGGAGGTCCCCAGGTAAAACCAAGTCATTCTTGATGAAGAAGGTAACAGACACACGCACGCACAAGTCTAAAATAAAACTGCAAATTATACCAACATAAAAGATGGCAGACAAGTTAAAGTGGTTTCCAGGAGGTACTGAGAAGATACAGCTAGTAAAAAAGAGAATGACTCATTCTAGATGTCAGTAGTAAGCAAGAGAAAAATCGAGACACATATCTATATACAAATGTAAGTGCCCCGAAAAGCGTCTAGAAGAAGACACAGGAAACCACTAACAGTGGTCATCTCTGGGCAGTGGGAGAAGGATTATGGGGCAGAATATAAAAAAGCTCCAGTTTATTGACTTGAAATGTAATGACCTCCAAGTTTGGTTTGTTTTTTTGTTTTTTACAATGCAAAGATGATCATCTATGCACAAAACTAAAGCTAAAGAGTTTTTTAATACAGCACAGAAAGTACACTTGCTTTCACTGCCTAACAAAGCTATTCTCATGGGTGGGACGGGATGCACAGGTAAAAGTCATGACCATTTTCGTTCTGTTTATTTTAAGATTATTTGTGTAAGTGAAAAACGATCACTTCTGACTGTCTAGTACCATTGTTTTCCTCTTTCCGCCTCTACTTCCTCACCCGACTCATTCGTTCTTCTTTTTAGGCCAGGAGACATTATTACTCTTCTCGAGGACTCCAATGAAGACTGGTGGAAAGTAAGTGTTCCTTTTTCTTTAAGAAAAATCATTTGGTAACTACAATTACAACGGATGCTACAACTGTGGATGCATGCCTCCTTTTTCCTTTCAGGGGAAAATTCAAGACAGGATTGGCTTCTTTCCAGCCAACTTTGTTCAGAGAGTACAACAAAATGAGAAGATTTTTAGATGTGTTAGAACCTTCACTGGGTGTAAGGAACAGGGGCAGATAACACTGAAAGAGAATCAGGTGAGTGAAGCACACTGACACACCCCAAGTACGCCCGAGACGGAGGGACAGTCATTCTGACAGACAGCAATCCGTGTCAGTCAGAATGAGCGGAGTCCCATTCAGAGTACTCACTCTGAGAAAAGATACACTTAGTCCAATGACAGTACCGTAGTAGGATCTCAACACACAAAACCTCAGTGTTATCACTTGGTGATGCCTGTCACAAGAGCAAACTGCCCAAAGTTGCTCATTCTCCCTGGAGCTGGTGTTTCCACCTGCTCCTCAGGGACAGCAGAAGCCATCATCTGCCTGGAAAGAGCAGTGGCATCTGAGGGACACCCCCCCATAACAATAGCACCCCTGGGGAGCCCCGCTGCCGTGCATATATAGTATGTAACATTTGTAAATCTTATATGCCTGCATTTTATTTGAAGTCCTACACATGCCCTGTAAACGAGGAAACAAAGGCTGATAGAGGTTATGTGCCTTGCTCACGGGGCCAAAACTTGGTGCATGGCCAGACAGGAATTGAAAGATAGATCTACAAGCTCCTAGCTCAGTGGCTTCTACTGAGCCACATGCCCTGGACCATGTGGAACAAACTCTTCGAGTGTAAAGTGCTGTGTACATAGTTTGGTTCCCTGGGAAGGCAAGTGTCATAAAGGCACATGTCCCAGGACCAGAAAATTTGGAAACAAATTCCTGCTCCGATAGAAGCCCTACTGAGTCATTCTTGATTCCAGGCAATGGGGTCACCCTCATCAGACTGAGACCCCATCTCTAATGCCGTACATACCCCACAGAGCACACGGGCACATTTCCCAGCTGGGTTCCCCGCCCATGCTTCAGATGTCTCCAAGTGTACTCAGCTGTACCCTCCCTGTCCCAAAAGTCTGGAGTCTTTTGAATGAAGTACATTCAGGAAGAATGTTCATCTGTATTAGCAACGTGCTACTACATAAATTTTGCTAGCTTGTTTGATTTTTTTTTCCCCTCAGAATAATCTTGTGCTTCTCTGTTTGAGATTAAACATTGTTTTATGTCATTAAAGTACAAATCAGTGAAACCAGAAGGCAAGTTAAAATTTGCTCAAGTTGATCAGTTTCTAGAAGCAGAACGTTGGCTCGGTGACTTCTACCAGTTCCTTGGCTACATTCCCCCCAAAAAGTATTTTCTGGGAATGGGTTCACACCTGCGTTCTCCTCTCTCCCGGCTGAACTGACAATGTACAGGGGTCCAGCTGAGACAACCAACCTGGTCTCTTCACTTAGACACGTCCAAGACACAACACAGCATTTCAGCCTGAACCTGGAACCACAGGGATCCGCCCACAATACTTTAGGAAAATGCTGTAACCCCTGGTATTTGACTAGCCTGGTATTTCTAAAACATGGTCATTGGGCCACCTGAGTCAGAAGTTACCTGTTGAAAATGCAGATTTCTGTCTCCTCCCCAGATCTGCTGAAACGGAAACTTTCAGGATAAAGGCAGGGAATCAGTCTTTTTTACAAACTTCCCAGGTTTTCCAGTCATAACTAAAATTTGAAAATAACCTGCATTTCCATTTCTCATTTTATAGTCCTTTATTAGTTCTGTGACAACTGAAGGCATCTGTGTTTCCATGGCACGTAGGTCAACAGAAGGCACTGAGGTCTCTTTCCTTCCACACAAATTCTCTATTTTCAGGCTTTATCATCAATATGGCATCCAATTTTGGGAAAATATCAGCCCCCGAAAGGAAGTACTTTTATTTTTTAACTTTTATGAGAGGGAGGTAATTAGGTTTATTTATTTATTTATATTTGGAGGAGGTACTAGGAATTGAACCCAGGACCTCATGCATGCTAAGCATGTGCTCTACCACTTGAGCTATACCCACCCCCCACCAAACTACATTTTAAAAATTTATTATTGTAGGAGGGAGGGTATAGCTCATTGGTAGAGTGCATGCCTAGCATGCATGAGGTCCTGGGTGCTGCCTTCGATCCCCAGTACCTCCACTAAAAAAATAAATAAACCTAATTACCTATCCCCCAAAAAACAAACAAACAACAAAAACGATTTTAAAAATCTATTATTGAGGGAAAAAAAATTAATTTGTCTCCACTTCAGTATCTTAAATTATTTTAGGTGTTAGATTTCCAAACACGCTTGTTGACTGACAGGAGTATAACAGTAGTCGCAAAAAAACACAGATTCTAGTGTCATGCAGATATGGATCTGTATCCTGTGTGAGTTTTGGCAAAGTCACCTCTGAATGTCAACGTTCTCATCTGTAAAATCAGCATAGTAGCATCTTCCTCTTCACTTGGAGGTGAGGGTTAACTGTAGCACCTGTGTCCAGCGCCAGCACCATGCCTGGCCACCATGGGTCTCAGCAAGGTCATGACCCTTGCCACCATCATCATTCAGAGACAAGCCTAAATGGGGACTACGTCCACAGTGGCCAGTGCCACTGAAAATAAACAGAGTAAACATCAGAAAATAGCCAGTGTGATATTTATAACCCTAAAAATACAGAGACAAATGGTCATTAGCAAATTAGAAGAAATTTGATTCTGGAAACAAATGCTACACATCTCTCTGATTAAATCACACTTCTGCCTCTGGGGTTGATCTGGCTCACCATTATTACATTCTGTTTTCACAGAACTCTTGCTGCAACAGAATTAGGTTATTCTTCTGTTGTGAACACATCTACAGTTTGTACTGACACAGGAGTATGTTTTCTTCACTTCTGAAATTTAAAAGCTATCCTTATTCAATCAATTTGAACATTTTTTTAATTTATCCCTAGTTCTGTCATCTCTATAGAACTATTTTAATTGATCCTTGTGTTCTATAAAAGCTTTAAAGAAAAACGGATAAATTATTTTTAGACTGTAAACCTAAAATGCATTTATTGTGGAGAAAATTTGAAAATACCCCCAAAAAATTATAAAGAAAATAAAGATCACGGGTAATTCAACCATCGAGCTATTAAGAGCAAATACTTCTGGGTTATTTCCCATGAAACTTTTCTTCAAATTCGTATTTTGATACCATAATCTATTTGGTTTCCCAACTTTTTTTTAAAAACATAGTCACTAAATGTTTATCAAAAGACAGTTTTTAGCAGTTATATATCATATAGATCAGAGGCTGTGAAACCATAATCGACGGATCAACCTGGCCCTGGTTTTTAAAGTTTATTTAGACCTTTGCTGCACTCAGTCACGTGTGTGTTACCTGCTACTCTCACACAGCAGCTGGGTAGAATCATCCCTGTAGAGACCATACGGCCCGCAAAGCCTACGATACTTACTACTGAGTCCTTTACGGACAAAGTCTGCCAACCCCTCGTCTAGATATACAAGAATGTACTTATTCCTCTATTATTGGATGTTCAGAGCTTTTTAAAAAAATATTCCTAATTGCAGGGAACATCTCTAAACCTAAATCTTTTTCTACAACTCTGATTATTTCTTTAGGATCTACTTCAGAATTCATAGGAAAACAGATACAAAATTTCTTCAGTTCTCGATGCCTACTGCCCACTTGCCTCTGTGAAGGCTGTGCCAATTCATGCCCACATCAGCAGTTTCTGAGAACATTCAGGTTACCACACCCTTGCCACAAATGAACATTACTATTTTTGATATCTGTCATTTTGATAAAGGAATAATGTTTCATGTTAATAGCAATTTCCTGGATGGTTAGGGGTTAGGGAGGTTGAAATTTTATCATGTAGTATCAGGCATTTGTCATTCTTTTATGAATGATCTGTTTATGCACTTTATTTTCTTACACTATGAAAAAGTTTTCTGTATTTTAAAGATCTTTACACCTGGTCTGCCATAGGTGGCCTCTGTCATTTGCTTTTTGATCTTAATACTTCTTCCTTCAGGAATTTAGTAACTCTTTGGTTGAGTCATCACTGTTTTACCGTATTTCTCTTAAAGTTTTCATCTCTTTATTGCTTTCTACTTTATCACTCCACTTCTTCCTCAGAGAATATTTAAAGGTAGTCCCCAACTTCACTTTAGTTTTCTGAAGTTGTAGTTCAGTCTTTCATCACTTCTAATATTGATCTTAACTGAGTGCCTGTTTCCTTGGAGTGCTGTCTTCTCAGTCAGCCCCCTTTCCTTTGCATCATGGTCGGCTGGTTTGTTTTGCATCTCATTACATCATCTCTTCACCCCAAGAGATTCTCTCTTAAAATGTCAAGACCAAGTCTTTCTTCAACCTACCATATCCAGTGTGACTAAAAGAACTTTCAGATATATACCTATTTCCTGCAGTATTTTTTGATGTTTTATAGCAACATATCCTTTCATCTGTGGTAGGACAGAGGCAACGATGCCCATGTCCTAATCCCTCACATGGCAGGAGGGACTCAGCAAATGTGGCTAAGAATCTTGAGATGTAGGTTATCCAGGAAAACCTAATGTAATCACAGGGGTCCTTATAAGAGGCAAGACAGGAGGGTCAGAGTCAGAGAAGGAGCTGTGACAATGGAAGCAGAGAGAGAGATTTGAAGATGCTGTGCTGCTGGCCTTGAAGATGAAGGAAGGGACCATGAGCCGAGGAAGGCAGGGGCCTGAAGACGCTGCCAGCTGGGAAGCAGATTCTCTCCTGGAGCCTCCAGAAGGAGGGAAGCCCTGCTTGCACCCTGACTTTAGGGCTCTAATCTCCAGAACTGCAACACAAGAATCAAATCCAGATTTGTTTCCTCTGCAAAAGCGACTTTGTAGATGTGACCGAGTCCTAGGCTGTAGACCCTGTGATGGGGAGATAGCCCGGATTGTTTAAATTGGCCAAATCTAATCACTTGAATCCTTAAAAGCAATGAAATGTATCTGGCTGGAGATGGTGAGATGCAGCAGAAGGGAGATGAGGCAGAAGGGTAGGTCAGCAAGAGATTATGTGTGAGAGGGGCTCAACCCACCCTTACTGGATCTGAAGATGTAGCAAGGGGCCACAAGTTAGGGAAGGCAGGCAGCCCCTAGGAGCTGAGAATGACCCCTGGCTGACAGCCAGCAAGGAAACAAGGACTTCAGTCTCACAGCTGCAAGGAACTGAATTCAGCACCAACCTAACTGAGCCTGGAATTAGACTATCTCCCAGAGAAACAGAAGAGAAAGAAAGGAATCGGACCCTCCTGACTTCTGGATATTGTTCTGGTGAAACCCAGGGCAGAGAAAACAAGCCAAGCCCACCAGACATAGGACTTACAGATAGAATCATTAGATAATATTCTATACTAAGTTGCATTGTTGAAAGCCACTAAGTTTGTGGTAATTTGCTATGACAGCAATAATTGAACTAATACATATCTCAGGTCACAAAACTCCAAGTGAGTCAACCTCAAAAAGTACAGTCTACTTATATGTGAAATAAACAAATATATAAAAGAGCTGGACACAGGGCAGTTTTTGCATTTGTAATTCAGCAGCCTGACCCCATGATCAGGAATCTAGATTCCTCCATGTCCCTGTTCTGCTATCCTGGAAACGTCAGCCAGCTCCCCTCGTGGTCACAAATGGCTGCAGCCACTCCAAGAATCCTTGCTACACAAAGAGATTTTCCTCCTAGTACATCTCTTCTAAGAGGAAAACAAGCCATCCCATAAGTTCCCTAGAAGATACTCCATCCTGTTTTATTGGCTGGAACTGAGTCCTAGGGGAACCACTAAGAGAATCACCAGCAAGGAGGACAGAAACAGACTGGGACCAGTTAGGATTTACCTCCTACAGCGAGTTACCTGCACAAGGATTCCTGTCTCAGGCTCTGCCTCTAGGGAATCCAGCCTGAGACATAACCCATCGCCCTTGGGAGCAGGTGGAGCAGGAAAAACTGGCAACACGCTAACAGCTCTTCAAAACCTCTTTTCATTTACAGCCAGCCACATCCACCCTTCTGTGCCCGTCAGTGGCCTATAAGTGGTGAATGACAAAGGCACCCAAATGGATTTTGTCCACTGCCTTTTTAAGTCCAGCATAGGTGTTCTTACTCCAGAATATGCAGGGTGTTAGCATCTATTTGCTTGGTACCAGGAATGAAATAGCTGCCTTTGACTTCCCAATATTACAGGGAAGTGCCTAAACTTCCAGGCTTGTGACAGGAGCCCGCTGAATGGTAGCTATTATTTTGGATTTTAAAATAATGTATTGAGGACCCACTGCCTGACTCAGGCTAGCTCTGTGGAAAGCATTCTCTCATTCTGTCCTCACAGGGACTCTTCTGGGGGGACACAGAATTATCAGTCCCACTTTACTGATCCTCATTCATGAAGCTCAATCTCAGAAAACATTCAAAGTCTGGACCTAGTTCCAAACCCAGGGTTCTGTCCAATTTATTTTCAAACCTTTCTTTCATCAAGCCACAGCTTCCCTAAACCACTCTCCCTTTTCCAACTTGCTGCTCCACTGACCTCCGCCAGCCGTGATTGAGGACGGGAGTTCTAGCTTCTCTCCCGTTGACACGTTTCTTGTTTTCTTCCTTGGCATTCAGATCTGTGTGACTTCGGAAGAAGAACAGGACGGCTTCATCAGAGTCCTCAGTGGAAAGAAGAGAGGCCTCGTCCCCCTCGACGTTCTAGAAAACATCTGACTGCCGGCCCCTCCTCCTCTGGCCGGCGGCGAGCCCCGCTGTGACGCCTCATCTCACGCTGTGTTAACCCAGAGGAGCTGCCGCGCTGACCGGCCACCCAGGAAACAGTGAGACCAGACTCAAGGCTCTGAGACTGCGGGGTAACAGCCACATGGCAGAGGGCCCATCGCAAGCACGTCCAAGGCTGCCCAAGGTGGGGCTGAGGCTGAGAGAGTCGGCCCGAGTGCTGTCCTAGGGGGCAGTAACCACCGCCGCGCATAGGACTCAGCTCCGTCCCTGGCCGTGTGGTGTGACAGCCAGCCCGCCCGAGTGTGCTCCAGTCTGCGGGGTGGCCCCAGTGTGAGGCTCAGACCCACGCAGCCAACTGAGATTCTGGTTCCAGATCTCTGTCCCCAATACTGGCCAATCAGCATCCTCACATCTGAGACCCCAAGCAGTCTTTCTGCAGAACATCAGGAAGCCCTGCTCCCTAGCCCCCAACATTCCAGGGCTCCCCACAGACCCCCTCACATTGCCATCGTGCCATCTCTTCTGTCCCTGAGTATGTCCTGGCGGTGAGCGTTCCGTGTGAGGGCTAGGCTGACATGGCGCCGGCTGCACAGACCTGATCTGCCCCCAGGTTGCCGTAGGCGGCCCCTCCTGCCACTCTGGTTACCGACAGGGCTGGCAGAGCAGGATGCAGTGGGCAGAGAAGGGGCACGGAGGGGCAGAAAGCCCTTACTTACTGATGATCAGAAGCCCTTTCAGTCATGAAGTCCTTTCCCCAAGGAGATGGGGTTGGGGAAGACAGTGTGGCAAAACATCTCCATGGTGAGCGTGAGCCTCCTGTTACGTCCTCTGTATCAGGGGTAGCAGTTTTCCCTTCTGCCATCCTGTAGGGCCCCCCTCTTTAGACGCTGAGCCCACCTTGCGGGGAGCCAGAAAGAGCATCTTAGAAAAGCAGCCAAATGGGAAACTGTTCTCATGAAGAGCAGAATATTATGCCCCAGCAGATGCAAAATGGGAAAGAGTCTTTGACGCTTCATCCCTCTGAAGGCAAGAGACTTGGCGCCTGTTTAGCATCGAGGGGAACCTCTGTGGCTCAGTATTTGTATTGATGTTTACAAGAATGCAATCTACTGTGATGCCTTCCTCCCCAGACCTCCTCCCAGCATTCCAACTTGCATCCTATTAGTCATTAATACGGTTAAACTTCGATTCACAAAGACCTGCAGTGTCCCTTTGGTTTATTTTGTTACAGAGCAATAAAATCATTGGAACCGTTGGTTTTTAAAAGACTTAATTGGATACATCCCAGGCAGTAAGCATTATCTCCCAAACCAAAGCATAGTTAGTCTCCACTGATTTCTTTTGTTACTGCTCAGCGTGAAGCCCAGGCAGGATGGCTGCTGGTTTCTAGCAGTTGGGATGCCTTACTCTCAGTTTAAAAGCCAGCATCCAGAATTTCCTCGCTCTCTGATACATGAAAAACAGAGTCAAGATGGACTCTTTGAGAGCCAGGGTGGATAATATGACTGCCATTCCATAACATGGTACGCCGCAATACAGACGTGCTTTGCCTCTAAGTCAGTATTCCATTTAATAAAGACAACACCATGGCTGGAAGGAGCATAGAAAACATGTGTCCTGATCTCTTCTTTCTGGTAGAACATCCACAGAAACTTTTGCGTACAGTTGTGTTGCATCGTATGCAAATTTAATTTGCATTTTAAAAAAAAAAGCAGTTTGCCTTTTTAAGTTGAACAGAAGGAGGCTACAGTAGCTAGCCTCCAAGGTGGTCCCCCAGTGAGCCCTGCCGCCTGATATTCCTGCCTTTGTGCAGCCATTCCCACGTTGAGTCAGGGCTGGTCTTATGTCACCAACAGGATACAGCAGAGTGATAGTGCATGACATCCGTGCTGGGTCACAAAGCCCCTGAAGCCTCTGCCTTGATCCCTTGGAACACTCACCCTTAGGAGCCCTGAGCCACCATGTAAGTTTACCCACTGTGAGCCCACAGTGCTAGAGAGACCGAGCAAGACCACATGTTACTGCAGCTGAGCGCAACCCAGACATCACAGAGCAGCAGTCATCCTGCTGAGCCCTGCCCCAAGGGAAAGATTTATGAGCACGATAAATATGGGTTTTTTAAGTCATTAAGTTTGGGAGTGATCTGTTACACAAAAATAGGTAACTGGAACAGGAACTCTGTAATTTGAGCCAATGTTAGAAAGGAGAAAAAATACTTTCTGCACAAGGTGAACCATAAGGTTTTGCACATATCAAGTACTGGCAGGCGGTTAACCCTCCAAATGCAAGATGTCTAGTGTTCCTTAAAGATCTGGAGTCATCCAGATATCAGAGAGAAAGTAAGAGATTCCTCATAACCCAGATCGCCATGGATGCTTACACACACACACACACACTCTCCCGTCAAGAGGAAGAGGCCAGCATCTGGTTATGTACTGAAAGTAGCCAGCTGGGTAGCACATAGTAGGAGCTTATTACAGGTTTGCTATTAAAAGGAGAAAAATAAAATCAGTGGGAAGATCACACACACATAAATACCCCGGTGCCAAGTATTGCTAAAAGGCAAAAAAAAAAAAAAAAAAAAAAGGCACTACAGAAATCCGAAAGCTGGTCCAGATCATTGGCTGCTCCAAGGACAAGGGAGCCAGGGAGGAAACTTACTGTCAGCCCCAGCCCAGAGCCAGGCCCGTGCAGCTGTGAAAAAAGCGTGATGTGCATAAACAGAAACTTGAGATATAAATAAGTTGATTTAGAACCTGCAGAACATTTATTAGCATTGGCTAGTTCATTCCAAGGAACGCAGTTGGGAAAATTCGGTAGAGAATTCTTATATAATATTGGGTCCACCTAACAGCCCCAGTGCTCCCTAATAGTCCCTTTCTTCCTACAACTCACTGACATACTTGTGTAGTACTGAAAAGGACACACAAGCATTGTAAAAACTAAAGGCTGAAAGCCAGCCTACTCTGGAATCTGAGTCCACATAAGTAGGAGACAGAGGGCTCTATGTCCTCCAGGGGTGGAGAAACTCAGGAGAAAGAGTAGTTTTTTCATGCTCTGACAAATTTAGCAAATACTGACCAGCAGGGCGTAGGCTGCTATAAATCTGAGAATAAAAGAAAGTTCAGCATCGCCCAAAATAGCAACCCCAGGAACCTGAGTGAGCAGGTGTGCTCCACAGACTTGTCACAAAACAAAAATCCTCACAAACAATTCGGACAAAAAAATTGAAACTAGTTTAATGACATCCTGTAGCGATCCCTTACAGTCTGTTCCGTTACTGTTCTGTTGTGTTTTGTACACCACCTGGTGTTTTTGACCCTTAGAACATGTTTTGTTTTGTTTTCTTAGCTTCCAATAAGGAGTTTTAAATAGTCCTCAATCTTTCTGTGGGTAATAGAAACTTTTAACTGAACTTTGAAATTTTAACAAGATAATGGCAATTTTATAGTTCCTTTTTAAAAATAAAGAAGTGGCAGATTTTTTTTTTAAATCATCTCATCAAGTTTAAACAGCTATTGAATGACTTCCATGTCTTCATGGAAGTCAGGATGTACTAAAGTACTGAAAATACACCCTGGGAAAGGACAGTACCTATTTCCAAGGAAAATGACAGAGCACCTTTAGATTTCTCCCCTCACCTCATTTGCTCAGGTTCTTGGGTTATTTCTCTGACCCCATTTTATTCAATGCATCACAATATTTTTCTCTGTCTGCCACTCCTTTTGAACCAGCTCCTTGAAATTGTGCTTAGTTCATTTATTTTCAGTCTTTACTAAGGTAAAAAGAAAAATCATCCAAGGTTATAACTTTTCCTCTGAGTTCAGCTTTGACCATATTTTCATTTACTTAAAAATACTCTGTAATTACAGTTATGATTTTTCTCTCAGATTTTTTTATTTCTTGTGTGTGTGTGTGTGTGTGTGTGATTAAAACTATTGTACATTGTGGTCAGAAAATATGGTCCATGTGGTTTCTGCTTTGAGGAATTAATTGGTATTTTATTTTTTGCTCTAATATGTGAATAATATTTACAGAAATTTGATAGATGCTGGCAAAAAAGAAAAGCCATGTCTGTGGTATATAAAGTTCAATATATGGCTACTCAATAAATGCTGAAAGTATTCAGGTCATGTGTTCTTATTTATTTTCGCTAATGTGCCCTCTCGAAGACAAGGAAGTCAAGAGCCAGCAGCCATGGGACCGAAATGAGAGACACCTCGTGAGGACCTCCAATCGCTCCTTTAGTGCCAGCCCGTGGACGAAGGAATGCCACCCAGGGCTCTCCACCACAGCTTCCTCTTCCACATTTAGGATGAATCACTAAAGTCATTTCCTAAGTAAGCATTCTAACTCCCTGGAGAAACCTGTAAAGGAACCACTTTTAAGTGAAGAGGTCTTAAAAATATTCTTGGAAAACTTCAGTGTTAGCTCAGGGAGTTTTGACAGAGAAAAACTACAGCAATCATTGTCGGGCGAGAATCACATCACAGCTCCAGCCTCCAAGACCGGTGAGGGCGAAAATCACATGAAAATCACAAAACATCTTCATACCCAAGAGTCTACGTCTGGATATGGTCAATCACCAGCTGCTGATCCTGAGATGTGGATTTTCCTCTGGTCATTACAATGGTGGTTCTTTTGGCAGTGAAATCAACATTTATTAGAGTCAACTGGGAAAGCCTGTAATCAAACAAGTAATACTGGAAATGTATGGTCAGTGCTACAACAGAGGCAGGAGAGCGAACCACAAGGATGTGCTGGAACCATGCTGATTCCATTAGGAACGGGGTCCACAGAAGTTTCAACTTCTCGTTCCAAAAATGTTCTCACTTTCCAAGAAGGTGATTTTACACTGGAAGGGCTAAGGCTGCCTTTCAGCTCTTTTAAAATTTCCCAACACGTGAAGCACTTTAGTTCCACGAAAATTTGGGGAGATCATGTGTATTTGGGAGGGTATTTTGTGGAGACGAGGTGGAGTTAGACTTTGGGAGGCGAGGCGATTCTTTTCAACTTTTTACTATAAATGTTTCCAACGGTGTGCTCCCTCCAGGCCTGAGTATTTGTTGAGTTTGTGTTGAGTCTCTGAGCAATATTAGGAGTATAGTTATCCCTCAGTGTCAGTGGGGGGTTGGTTCCAGGACACCTCCTCACCCCAGTAGGATACGAAAAATCTTTTTACTTTATGTACTTCTTAACTAATGAAATTTAGTTCGTTTTATTACTTTCGTCTTTAATCCTTCATCTTGCTTTATAAGTGATTAATCCACCACCGTTGTTCTATATTTACCTTCTCCAGTGAAATGTTTACTTTGTGTATTTGCTTATTATTAATTAGTGCCATTTATTCCAGCTTAGAAACATTCTTTTAACACTTCTTGTAGGGCACTGTGTACTTATTTCTTTGGGAGTGATAATGAACTTCTTTAGCTTTTGCTCATCTGGGAAACTCAATTTCTCCTTAAATTCTGAATGATAACCTTGCTGGGTAGAGAATACTTGGTTGGGCTTTTTTTTTTTCCTAGCACTTTGAATATGTTATGCTACTCCTTTCTGGAAAGTGCCTGCTGAAAAAATCTGCTGATAGCCTTATGGGGTTTCCCTTGTATGTAACAAGGTAGTTTTTCTCTTGCTACTTTTCTTCATCATTAACTTTCGCCATTTAATTATAATGTGTCTTGGGTGTATCTCTTTGAGTTCATCTTATTTGGAACTTCCAGGGCTTCCTAGACCCTAAAGTCTGCTTCCTACCCCAGATTAAGGAAAATTTCAGCCATTATTTTTTCAAATAATTTCTGATTCTGTGTGTTAGGTATATCAGCTCTCTCCCCAGTCTTGGAGGCATGGCCTTACTTAGGAGATGTCCAATGGCAATCAAATAAAGCCCTACCTGGCCACCAGGGCTACACACTCAGTGGGTACCTGTCCCACTCCATAGGCTGTGTGCACCGTCCTGTTGCAGTAGGGCCACAGCTGTGCTGTGATGCACTGGTGGACAGGGCTGGCCCCAGACCTGAACCTTTCTCTTCTTATCTCTCTTTAACCCCTTCCTCTTCTACTGTCCCCATCACCACTACCACTCCCAAGATTGCAATTCAGTCCCTACAGAAATAATCTAGTTCCTTAAGGAAATAACATTTCTCTTGCATTTTGTAAACTCCATGGCCTCAGTACATGAATGTTCAAGATTTTTTTCCTTCTCCAAATTTCTATTTCTCCCAGAGGGAAAGGGTGGATATTGGTCTCAGTGGTCTCTGGTTTCGTACAGTAAGGGGATAACAGAAGCAGTCAAATGTAAACTCTGGTGTGAGAGGAGATGGTTACATTGTGAGCATTTCCACCCCTGACTGCCATTTGGTTTTCAAATACACCTTATATTTAGATTTCAAGACAAATCAGTTGTTATGGTAATAAGCTGTAAAAACATGGGGCAAGATGTCTAATCAAGAGAAGACTGTGGGAGAAGGAGAATACACACATGTGGGGTGATTCAGGTAGATGAAAAAAACAAGAAAAGGTTTACGGGGCACCACTGCAATGTGGGTGAAATCAATATTCTGCAGGGGCTGGTACTGGGAAAGCTGAGACAAAAGGAAGATACCGTTAGGGACAAGAGAGGGAGCGGGCTGGAAAAGAGGGAGGCCCGTGCCCCAGCAGGAGAGTCTGTAGCCGTGCGAGGCGACAAGGGACCCATGGCAGCACAGAAAGGTCAGTCAGCCTGCCTGGAAGCATCTTCCTGGCACCAGATGTCCACAGCTCCTCCACCACTGCAAAGCCTTTTTGGATGGTGGTTTTTTTTCCCCAGAGTCAGCCTCAAAGCCAGAATCACCTTCCTAAAGCATCGCTTTGATGCAGAAACCCCTCCCGTGGCTCCCCCAGCCCTACAGAAGCCAGCCCAGCAAGTCTGGTGGTGCCAGACCACGATCACACCTCTGAAACTGCACAGCCCTGGCCAGAAACCACTCAGCTGGCATCTGTCACTTCATGTTTGACAGGGTGTCCATTTTTTCACATTTACTTCAGTGAATAGACTAAATTCCTTGAGGGTTGAATGCTAGGCTAGACTGCCCCGGAGAAGACAATCACTGTCTTTGTGATGAGTTCATAAGACCACGAGTATCGTCATCAGCAGCAGCGGAGTTCCCAGCCCCTCCCGTCGTGACTGGCACACTCTCCCATCTCTTAGCAGATCAAGGTCGTGGCACTCAATGAATATGAGTCTTCTGCCCGTAGCAAATCAATCAGCAAAGCCCACCAAGATAGAGAAATCAAATTCAAGACCTGGACTAGAGATTTGGTTTTGTCTTGTCCTTGACAGAGAACGCAGCTCCAGTCCCCATCACAAGGCACGGCAGCTCCACCACCTCCAGAATAACAGCTTAAAGAGCACTTGCTAACAGGGCTGCCTCCACAAGGCCCCTCTGTTCATCACCCCTTTCCATCCCTGTTGCTTTTAGAGACAGCTCAGGTTGGGTTGGGGGATGAAGAATAGGAATTGTTTGCATTTTATAATTTAAAAAAATTTTTTTTTAGTGATGGTACTGGGGATTGAACCCAGGACCTCATGCATGGTAAGCACGCTCTCTGCTACTGAGCTATACCCTCCACCCTGCATTTTATGATTTTAAATCTCAAGTTATGAGTGATGTTAAAAAGTAGTATGTATTGAGTAAGTCTGTGTCTTGGATTAGCTGTAAGGCTTGCGTTGGCACCCAGAAGAAGGAACTGAGAACTTTTCTCCCAGATGTTCCCACAAACTCTCCAGTCCCCAGGCGGCGCACTGATGGGTGGGAGCTCTGCACTCAGGCGAGCAGGGTTCCTGTCTGACTCGGTACTCACCAGCTGTGAAACTTACAGCACATTTCCTCAGCCACAAAATAAATACCACATAATGCCCATCTCTTCAGGTTGTTTGGAGAATTCAATAGAAAGATACAAGCATAGTTTTCGGGACATAGTAGGTACTCAATAAAACATAT